AGAGATTTTGTATATTCTAATATTCTATTTAAAGCAGTAAGGAAATGTGTGCAATAATAAGAAAAAGAGAATATCTAAAAATATAATAATTAAAGTGGTGCTTTAATAATATTATGATTTTGAAAGTTACAATACATTTGTTGACGTTCAGTTATTATCGTTGGTACTGTATTCATAGATTTATGTATTATCTTGTCCAGTTTTCCATGCCTCCATGACTGAGGTGCTTGGGGAAAGGGTTGAGGTAAAAACATTCCTTTTTTTCTCCATGATTTTATAATTTTGAATAACTTAGGGAGGGGCAGTTACAGCCCAGGCTACATCTGTTATTTGTCTTTCTTCGAAAATAGAGAGCAGTAAGTGACAATCTTAATATTAGTAATAATATAATATTGAAGATTTATAAAGCGCAGATACAGTTTAAAAACAGACAAAAACATTTTGCATATTACATGATCCATATCAGGGTAAGTGTCACTGTCTCTATGTGGCCATGTATGCAAGAATACGCCACGCGTGGTATGGTGGGCTTACAGGAGTAACACGTATACTGTGAATAGCTAAACAATATTATATTACCAAATTCAAAACCAACTAGTCTTGCTCATGTAGCTATACGAGCTATCATATCATCGACCCCATCGTCCGACGCCATCATTAAAAATATTATAATAATTTGCTGATCCAAACAAATTAATTTTCATAGCCAATTTCTAATATTGTGGTAAAAAAGCACATGGGCGATTCTAAGCCGTAAAATCTCTTCTTATGAACTCCACCACTAATTTTATTCTTAAACCCTGACTGAAGCTCTAGGCAGCCCCTTTCAGAAGCGGTCGGCATTTCACTACAAACATCCTTAAATTGACTCTAAGAATAATATAGCAAAGGTATTATTTAACTCTTTGTTAATTTATAGGACTATTCCGATTCTGATTTTTGATTGTACGTTAATAACTTTGAGCCTACTTAAATATAAATATGAATAAATTCAATTATGGAATTAAATGTTTCATCCCATGACAGACAGTAGGCCTACATCTTAAAATATTATAATGAAATATTTTTTTTCTTTTGTGGGGTCGTCCAACTTTAATTTGTTCCTTCATTTTCTTCGTAACCAACAATCCACATTTTCCATCTCTTTTTACCAATATAAATATTGTTTTGTTTCTGATATTTTTATCATCTATCCCGAATTTGTACTTTTTTCATTTCCTTTATATCCAACAGCGAGTACACTCGCTACTTACAGGATTTAACAATGCTTTATTTTATAAACCAAGTCTCTTATTAAGGCCTTGGGATTGGAGTTGATTTTAGTTGTGAGAAACAAAATCCTACTGTGACAGAAATTTAAACCAAACCCTGGGATTAGGAGCAAGCCTCTTAACCGCCAAGCTGTTCAACTCCACTTCAAATTTTAAAAGCTTAAACAATATTAACAAAGTCATATAATAACTAAAAACATTTGGTTTTACAGTAACATCTAATGTTTAAACAATCAATCCATTATACACATATCTAAACATTTACAATCAATAGTTCAATTAAGCCAAATCCTCAATAAACCAATCAATGCAGCAATGTATAATCAACTAGCAGAAAAATAAAAATAAATAAAAATAAATAAAGAAATAACAAAATAAATGAATCATGAAAATTGTTTGTATGAAGATATTGCTATAGTAGGCCTATTATGTTTATATCAAATGTATATATAAATCTATATCGGCCTACTTATTTTTATCGAATAGTACACTTTCATACATTTTATCTGCCCATGACAATCAAATGCTAACAAAATGTGTTCATGCTATTGCAATCTACTCGGCCTGCCCAATACCATGCTGGAGCGGATTCAGAGATGTCCGAAAGGGGGAGGGGCAAAAGTGAAACAGATCGAGACAACGCCAGCCTAGAGGGTCCGGGGATTTTCTCCTGCGAAATGCTGGTTTTCTAGACGTCCGAATATAAATGGGGGCGATCAAATATTTCTTATTCCTTACTTCTTTCCCCCCCCCCCCCTCATTTTTTAACTTTCCAAAAGAGGGGACCGGGCCGACCTGCCCCTCTCTAAATCTTCCCCTGCCATGTATTAATAAACCTCATTCATTCCGTGGTATGATGATACTATGATAATTAATAATATGCTAATGCTGATATGATAAGAAGTGTAAGTTATTATTCTATTGTAAAAGCAACATTGTACATACAATGTGATAACTGAATACGATAACGTTCAGGTTGGGTTGCTTACTATTTTTACTAATATATTATGTTGTTGAGGCTAGTTATAATTCTTTCTGTTTCTAAATCTTTTCTTAATATTTTCTCTTTCAGTGAGGACACACATCCACAAATATCAGGAAAGGATGCCCGAACTCGATCATGAAATTGAAACGGAATTTATCAATTATTTATAGATAGTTAAATGTTATCACTCATCAAGGTGCCTGCAAAAATCCGGGATATGAAATTAATTAACATACTGTGTGAATTTTATTGTTTTTAAATTTTCCTCTGCAAAAAATCTCAAATATAATGTTAGCAATATTTATTAATTTGTATAAGCTTTATATGATTATTAGTCCTATACATTATTGTATTATTACTAGTAATATTTATCTAAATAATAGAGAAAATAACCAGTACTATTGTTTTAAACAATATAGACATATGTAAGATAATAAGATATACAATTTTGAGGATTAAAACCAGACATAGGCTTATTGATTTTTGCCGAATGTACATGTAATATATATTTTTCAAAATATATAAGAATATCCCAACTTGCGTTTCAATGCTTGGAAATAAAGATCAAATGGAGCTATGAATTGCTTCTCTTCTTATTTAATGTCTCTGTTTACTTTAATAAATCCAGCAATAAATATCATTATTAGCCAAAAGTGAAGAAGTATCTCATCATCAATATTAACTACTTTGTCTATTCAACCACATATACCTCCATGGTTAATCTAGCAATAAAATCCAGAGTCGTACATATATATGGCTTTGATGGAATAATTTCGAGGACGCCCTTTACGACAAAACATAAAACCGGAAATGACGTAGTCGCTAGGCAAAAAGTCATGCATAATCATGAATATTCAGTAACACCTGTGCTCATTAGACTAACAATAAAATCTTTTTGGTCGATTTTGTCAAAACTGAGCTAAAAGTTTTTATTGTTAGTCTAATGAGCACAGGTGTTACTGAATATTCATGATTATGCATGAGCTGTTGCCTAGCAACCGACGTCATTTCCTGTTTTGTAAAATTTTATAGTGCCTTGCTCTAAAAAACCAGCTTGTTCTAAAAAACCGGAAGTGACGTTGTTGCTAGGCAACAAGCTCATGCATAATCATGAATATTCAGTAACACCTGTTCTAATTAGACTAACAATAAAATCTTTTTGGTCGATTTTGACAAAATGGACCAAAAAGATTTTATTGTTAGTCTAATTAGAACAGGTGTTACTGAATATTCATGATTATGCATTGTTGCCTAGGATCTACGTCATTTCCTGTTTTGTACAATTCGACGGCACGTTGCTCTGAAAATGTTCGTAATTTGTTTGTATCGTGTAGCTTTTTGGCAATATTAGTGTTTATAAGATATAGTAGCCTATGATAGTGGTAAATTCGATTCGAAGTTATTATTATATATTTATTTCGATTATATACTGATTAATATCATGAAATATATATTAATGCAATTACGACAAAGGAAGTACACAATGATGTATTTCAAATTACACATTAGTAAACATATATTTCTTACATATACTCGGAAATGTAGTACATCAGAAATTTATAAACGTCACATTAATAAACTACAAATAATATAATAGTATAATAGTATTTTATAAAATATATTTTTTATATAGTTTTTATTAATATGCGTATGAAATAAATTTTATGACAACGTATGCAATTTTAGTATGTAATATCGTTCGAGGAGAACTTGTTCGACGTACAAGAAACATAATTTGCAAATTTAATTAAATTCCGACGATCCAGTGGTGTAAACATAATAAATATCAGCGCGCGATAATTTTCAGAAAACCACATAAATCTGGCTGTTGATATTAGGCCTTCATCGTGTTCCGGTGGCAATGATTGTACATCGACCTCGCACTTTTCGATGGATTGGTGGATTTGATCTGAAATGAAAGAGATTGTGAGAAGTGCATTCAAAATATATTTCCATTTTTACATCCGTGTATAGTAGGCATATTTAAGTAACCTCATTCAATTAAGATACCTTTTTGAAATTTTATGACATTCATAATTTCATGTGGTGTAGGAAAGCAAATTCAGAAAATAGAATTGATTGTTAGATTGAATCAATCACGTTTATTGTAATAAAGATTAAAAGCGAATGTTAATTCTTTACATTTTAACCAATAATCTATCGGAACCATTGCAATGCCCTACAATACCAAAGCTGCATTAAAACTGGTTCAACCCTCCCATACAACAGTTAGTCCATTTGGTACGATCATAACATTTTATGTTCC